AGAAATACTAAAATTCTGAGAAGTACCCAAGACTATAGCCCATGGTTTTTTCCAAAAAATGGCTCCAAAATGACCCCAAATTTTTATTACATTTTCTGATACATATTGATGTCCTTATGCTGTGTAGAAAGTTTGAGGTGATTCCGACTTCAATTTTTCAAGTTACGGCCATTTTTAAGAAAACACCAAAAATCTGAAAAATACCCAAGGCTATATCCCATGCATGGTTTTTCGAAAAAATGGCTCCAAAATCAACCTAAATTTTTATTACATTTTCTAATACATATTGATGTCCTTATGCCCTGTGGCAAATTTGAGGTAATTCCGACTTCAATTTTTTAAGTTACGACCATTTTAAAAAAAATGCTAAAATTCTGAAAAGCATATAGCTTGGTATAGTTGAGGTACTGTAGGTACACTCATTATTAATGGAGGGGATTAGTACTGCAGTGCTGCTAGTTGTCATTTAATATAATGTTAAACTAATATAATGCAAATAAAAAGGTAGGAAAATACATCATGTACATGTAATATAGTATATATGTGTATAATTTAGGTGCATGTGTGATAATAATAAAGTTACATGTTCATTGCTTGTCCCCAATCTTCCCTTAGCATACCAGCAGCACGAGCTACTGGTCCCCCAACATTAGATAATGCTGTTAGAAAAGTGTCACATTCTTTATTAAGCTCAGACTGCCTGCGTATGAAAGTAAGACCAGCTAGGAAAGACCCAATGATGTCATCATAAGATGGTGATCTGTGTATATCTTGTGATATGATACCAACTTGAAGGAGCTGATCTGATATGCTTTGCAATGATAGACTGAAAGCTCTCTTTAAAGAAACTTGATTCTTCATTAAGATATCTTTAACCTTTCCTTTAGCAATATCAAGATCAGAAGCACCTATGTACATGCAGTAATACAATGAGTATTTGTTGTAAAAATCTTAATTTACCTTCTGCTTCTACTATTTCAGTTGAAGGGGCAGCAACAACTGATGGACCAACTAATAATAATAATAATGATAAATAAGTAAATAAATAAATACAGTACTTGATGAAGGAGTGGTTGCTAGTAAGTCATTCTTAGATACTTCAATAGTCCATTGAACAGTAGATGCATCAGATGTTTGTATACCATCAATAGATAAAACATAGGATATCTTGTTAGTAGCATCAGTTTTATCAGGTTCTACTGATACTTGAATGTATGGAGGCTCAGCACTTTTACTGCTGTGACGAACAACAAGACTTTTACTTATCTATGAACCACAAAGTAAAGAGATCTCTAGAAAACTGTCTGGCACTTACTGTAGGAGGATTGCATGGTTTTATTCTCCAGCCATCAATTGTGTGTGAGGGGAAATTGTGGACCTTCAACAAGCAGTCCTTATCATCAGGCTTGTCATCAGAAAATAGAAAATGAAAACTTGATATCTGAGTACCAAGTATAGGCAGCATGCCTCTTTTCTCAATCAACTACAAAATTGATATAATTATTATTAATCAAATTATAGTACCTCTTTCAAGTGATCCATATCTTGTATTGCAGTTAGACTCATCATCACTTTATCGGATAGTCGCTTTTTATAAATTAATGCAAGACAATTCATTGAAGGAGGAGCCTCAACATTCAGTGTCTCAACAGGTGGTATATCAACATTTGGTATCTCGATAGTTGGTGTCTCATTGACTACAGTGATCATAAAATATATGTATGTAGTACCTACAGTACATGTAATACTAACCATTAGCAGTCA